AGTATCCAAAATGTTTACTCATTGGGCTAATTACTTAAACCATCCTTTTCATCTGTTGCTTTTTTTGTCATAAGTACATTTAAAGTTAATGTGTATTTTGTATGAAAGTCAAAAAACTACTTTTGCTTGTCTCTACTTTATGACATTTTTTGTCAGGTAACAAGAATCTAAGATTCTCTAAAACCATTATAAACATCATAAAGATTATATTTAACCTTTCTAAAGAAGTAAAAATTTCTTTGTTCAGAAGCATAATGTGCCTTTAATGATTAGCTGTTTTGAATACCTAATTAAATTCTTTTCTTATATTGCTCATCATATATGTTATCATTTGCCCCTTCTCCATGGGAGTATAGGATCAGCCTACTTTACATAAGGCTAGTGGTTCTATAATTTCTTCCGGATATGCCTGCAATAATGTACCCTAGGTCTTCGTTTGGAATATGACCTTTACAGAGCCGTTGTGACTTTGAAACACATCAAACAAATGCAAATTAGAATGAGATAACCGCATGTAAGTGCTCGCCGGTAAGGGGAAATTACTATCAATAAACTGTTGTTTTTTTCAAACTAGAAATGTGATCAGAGAACTCTGCTGTTTTGTCAATCTTATGACTCTAGGTCAATATGTGCCACACGTTTAAAACTAAAAATCTTTTACTAAATCAAGGGCAAGAACATAAATCCACAAGCAAACCCCAAGGTGAATATGTATATGGCTGACCAACATTCTTGTAAACTTGCAGACCTACAGGTCAAATATGTTTTGAGCTATGCATGAACAAGTTGAAAAATTGCAAATTTATACTAAAGTCAAGGGCAATAACTCTTACACAACTGAGGAAAAAGAAAGAACCGGTTAAACCGGTGATGCTCCCCGATAGGTTTTGGACAAAGGAAAGTATACATATTGTAGTGTCAGAGAATTATGTCACAGACAAAGTTCAAAGTTTAAAAAATGAACAAAGGGCTATAACTCCAAAATTAGGCAAGGCAGAGTTAAGGTTCTTTTACACTGCATTTTTTTTAATGAGATCAATCTACCTACAAAGTGATACCTCTTATGGTTTCAGATATATGTCCTCTACAAATTTCAAAGCTGCTTCACATCAGTTATTGATAAAAAGGGTATTAACTCCACTAGGAAAAATCATTGTTGTTAAGTCAATATTGCTTCCTTTATTTACTCATTGTTTTACAAGCCTACCTACACCTAATACTGCTTTTTTGAAAACACTTAATTACTTTTTTATGATTTTATATGGAAAGGTAAGGCAAAAATAAAGCAATCTGTAATCATTAAAAATGCAAAGAAGGTTAGATACATTAAAACATTGCTGATAGGAACATGTATTTGACAATGGGGAAAAAAGACCATTTTGGATAGAGAATGACTTCTCACTCAAAAACCCTGTTCACTTAAATATAATAACTTGAGAACCATTCGGCTTATAATCGCAAAGTTGATCAAGGCATGTAAATGACCCATTTGTGAGATTAATAGGTTCATTATCAAGCTCAAAATGACGCCTTAAATAAGATTTCGTAAAAAACGAATTAATATTTCGTAATTACGAAATAACATTTTCGTTTTTACGAATTAATATTTCGTAATAACGAAAATAATACGAAATAACAATTTCGTAAAAACGAATTAATATTTGTAAATACGAATTAATATTTCGTAAAACGAATGATATTTCGTAATTACGAAATAACATTTCGTTTTTACGAATTAATATTTCGTAATTACGACATAATATTCGTAAAAACCCCGAATTAATTTTCGTAAAAACGAATTGATATTTCGTAATTACGAATTAATATTTCGTAAAAACGAATTAAATGCCGGGGTAAAAGTGTCGAGAATGTCACCTTAGGGGCTCCGTACGCGTGCAATAAATTCTGTACATAAGATTTGAAATAGATCTTGGCTGCGCAAAAATCCATAAAATTTTATATAGTTATGACCAATAACTATCACTTATACAAATAATACCTTAAAAATATCACGTCACCTAGATCTACCATAGTTTGTGTAAATTTCTTATCAACTGCAATATAGTTAACAATATGCCAATCTATTTATAGACATTACACGCGCTTACAATAATGTTACATAGTTCTACATGTAAAATATTGTAATCATGAGTGAAAAAAACGCAAATATACTGCATGAATTTGATAATTTTATGAAGAATTTTTGTATCATAGCGTTTGGATTATTAATTGATAGTTTTTTAGCAATTGTTTATATTGTTAACTTTTTTTATTTTATGGATTGACTTCACGGGATGGCTTTTTCAAGTCATACAAGATTGGTAAAAATCAGCACGGACGGTTTTAATTGACATCTGGAAATGTGTCCTGTATCTGTGCGGTATGGGAATATTATTTATTTTAATTATCTTTGGCTGTTTTGCTTTGAAGAATTGTTATATCTATGTTTTGTATTTTTTTATTTTACAATGTTCAAAGCTCTACATGAACATGCTTGGAACGACGAAAGAACACAACTTATACAAGACATAATTATATATATAACAATAATATATGGAATGATATTGAGGTAGAAATTACACAATGCCTGCTTACTGTTACAATTTACTTATTGACACTGCTATTGTGCTTATTGGTTAGGCAGTCACTATGCATGCTTGTACTTTCATCACGGGCTTGTGTGACAATTACACATTATACGTGCCCGAGTGTATAATGATGCGCATACCGAACGAACAAACAGTGATGTTATCCAGCGATAACATAACACCGATTTGGATATATTAATTTCGGATTCTAACACGACATAAACAAAAAAAATGCTGCCGTACCTGCTATTAAAGCAAAAATTGGCGCCTGATTTGTTTCGTACTTATTGTGCGCGTCGGATTTTATAGTGGTTACGTCATGCATAATTTGATTAGTCACCATGTCTAAATATATCAACGGTCACCACGTGACTCTATTGACAATAATACCACACACTTTCGGTTCTTCTATGTTCAATAGGGAAAAATGCGGGTCGTGTTAGAATAATATATAATAGTCATTATGCATTCTTGCACTTTCATCATGCTTGTTGACAATGATATCATGTTTGATGGAAGTTACAACTTGTTTGGTGTTTAGTCCCTGATGCCTTTTTCATATTTTCATTTGAGTGATTGACAGTGCAATCTTAGCGTGCTGTGCCAATGGTCACTTGGTTAATTTGTAATGCATCCAAGAACAAAATACACGAAGTGATCAACCAGTATGGAAAATGTTATTAGAGAGATATATCAATAGCTACTTCCCCTTCTTTTCAATTTGCCATTTGTCGTAATTTTTATTTAGCAAAAAGATTCAAATAGACTGTCGGTCACTTCTTTTACCCCTAGCATTGACTAAATATTCTGTATGCATGCCATATAGTCCAAATATAGGCCATAACAATTAACATTGGCTCATTGTTCAAAGTTTTATGCCAACTGGAATTAGTCAGTAATGATGATGGTACATCTAATTTAAGTAATTTGATTTGATTTAGGGGCCAGATTAAATTTTAGCTCGCCTTCTACATCTCATTTGCTTAAATTAAATTGTTTTTCTTAGAAATGGAGGACTTGCGGTTTGAAATTCCACAAATTAAGGTGGGGGAAAATCCCGGGATCCGGGATCGTATTAGATATAGAGGGAAAACTAATAAACTATATTTGTGTAATGACTATTGTCGTAATGAAAGGCGATTTTAAAAACGTTAAATTGTTTAATACGATCCCAGCTTTTCTGAAAACTATATTCTTGAACTGGTCAATTCCCGGGATCCCTATATGTTTTAATACGATCCCGGCTTTTCTGAAAACTATATTCTTGAACTGGTCAATTTCCGGGATCCCTATATGTTTAAATACGGTCCCGGCTTATCTGAAAAAAATATCTTCTTGACTGGTCAATTTCCGGGATCCCTATATGTTTTAATACGATCCCGGCTTTGCCCCTAGTTTTTATTTCTTTGATTACCACCCCCGCCCCCCCCCCCCTCCCCCGGTCTGCTGTCCCTTTAATAGCTCTACAGTAATGTAAAATAATTTGAATATTTCTTCGAAAATAAATTCCAATATTTTAGTATGCATGCGTGTACCCTATTCCGAAGGCGATACAATAAGCAAGACCCAGAGCGACACATTAATTTATATATAGTTATTGTTTACTGTCGCACAACGTCAAAATGAAATTCGTACGGAATCATTACATTTTGTATTGTAATTGCGTGTTGCTAAAAAGCTTTTTCGATGCACATACCGCATTAATAACTTTTCTATCTTGAGAAAATATTAGAAATAATAGTTTTACGTCTCAATTCCCACTAAAAGGACGCAAAGAATAGAGAAATTGATAAAAGATTGACCTTGATTTTCTGTCAGAATATCATGGTATCACTTTCATGGTATTTCTGCCATCGACGGCAGCATTTAAAATAAGTATCTGGCAGCATTTTTACTTCGACCGGACCAGATTGAAAATCTGTAAAACTTTCAAGAAAAGACTCACGGGGTAGATATTTGGCTTGTGTGACCCCAATGGATAAGCGTCGATATTAGTAACACGAAATCCTGTCATTTAGTTAAAACATGAGATATTTTGAACAAAAAACAAGACATTTTCACGGATTTTTCCGAAGCTGTCACCTTTAACCTGCTCAAAATAGTCTAAAAACAGGAAAAACGAGTCCAAAATTATCTAATAGTACCGGTATCTCCAGTTAATGGACACTAGTTTCATGTTTTGCGTATAGTAGCCGCCAATTTTGCAGTCACCTGCCGATTTCTATGGTCACATGAGGTTTGTAAAGGCAGAGAAAGTTTGATTGGCTACACTCAAGTTCAAATAGAACAATGTCGATGATTGGCTCTTTTTTTTCTTTTCTTTTTTTGGGGGGGGGGGGGGGGGGTTAATGCCCTTAATACATGTCTTGCAAATTTAGAATTTAATACAGATATTTTCATTATTACTTTCAGACTTTGACGATGGCATCAAATCAGCACATACGTGTAGTATTTGCAACTTTCCGATTAACAAATTGTCACAGTATTGCAGAAAATGCAGATTGTATGTTTGTTTGCATTGTGAACATGTTTATGAGAAAATAAGAGCATGTAAGGATCATCAAGAATTCGCCAGCGACAGCGCTAGCACGGACAGCGGATCAGATGAGATGAAAACATTATCAGTACAATTAGAAGAAGACAGACAAAACGATTTTGTTGTAAAAGTACTAAATATGGCACTACAATATGTCCCGCATATCAAACTTGTGTCTTTCACAAAGATAAGAAGAGCAGAAGTTTTATGTTTGTATAACAGAAATTATGATATTACATTTTTAGAGACATTATGCCTCAAACGAATGGACGATTTAAAGCCGGACTACTTTCTTCGAGCAAAACGTGGTTTGGTGTATTATCCGTTAAAAATTTGTCTTGCGGCTCGCTCGACATCCGGATTTTCACTAATTATTCATGAGGAAAATATATTGCATTTTGTCCCTCTTTATATTCCCTTACATGCAAGGCTGAAAAATATCTTTAAAATGATTTCCTGTCAAAAAGTAACTTACGAGCTGCACAGAGATACAACGAAATCAATCAAATCTGTGGCGGTTGATGAAACAATTTGTAGAAATGTACTTTTCACCGAATTCAATAATGGGATTGCATTGCTTCTGCTTAAAGACAGTACTAATTTTGGACGTGTACGCACACTATCTATTACGTTCTACTCACCGGAAGGAGTAGAAACGCATAAATGCTTTTTGAAAAACTCGAGCGAAGGAAAACTTGCCTTACAGTCACCAGTGTGTATGACAGGTACTGTTAACAACACTGTAGTCATTTGCGAATCAAACTACGAGGCAAATCGTGTCATTGAAGTTGATACTGACGGAAATATAATCAAAGAAGTTGACTTAACAAAACAAATCGAAGGGATGATTAATTCCGTCACCTGCGACGTCAATGGAAATATCTATGTCGCCGGATATCTAAAAATAGTACAAATATCAGAACGAGGTTACCTGGTCAAAGAATGCTTGTCTCTGAAGAAAGATTCAAAATACAAATCTATAGTTGACATTATGTATTCGGAAAAGAATAAACAACTTTATGTTGTATTTGACAAAAGAGTGATTACTGGCACAGAAAAATTATTCTTTTTTGTGTCTTTTAATTTGATCCAATCATACGTATGATGGTTGACAAAATACATGTAAACTTTCGGTAACAAACATGTATACATGTGATTATGTGTAAAATTTGTGTTTTACCAATTACCGTATACACTATGGTGAATTTGTGGTAACAACGATCTGGGTTTACTTGAATTTGTGGTAACAACAGTCTGGATTTGCTTGAATTTGGGATAACAACATTCTGGATTCGCTTGAATTTTGTGGTATTTTGATATCAACATTCTGGATTTGCTCGATTTAGAGTAACAGCAATCTGGATTTGCTTGAATTTGTATTAAACAGCACTCTGAATATGCAATGAGTTCACAATTATCTCACTTCTTGTTGCTAACTGGATATACAAAGTTACAAAAGAATGAAACGTTCTTCAAGAATGAGACAATTGACCTTGACCACATAAATCCGAATTACGATATGATTGCATAATTTAATTATATGATTTTTTTTATTTTGTGGCGTGCACATATTTATTTGATTATTTGCTATTAAACAAACAATGTTGATATCACTTGCAAACTTGAAGTAACAACCATGTGTATTTGCCGTAAAATCCATGCGTATTTGCCGTAAAAACCGTGTGGTATTTGACGTAAAAACCATGTGTATTTGCCATAAGAATCGTGTGTTATTGTCGTAACAACTGTGCTAAACGTTTATGTCATAAATAGCGCACCTAAGCGTATTTGATGATTAAGACTGAATTAACTCAAACCCTGCTTTAATTAGGTAATAGATTTGCCCAGATTTTAATTTGGAACCGTCCATTTCAAGATAAAACACGGGGGAGGAAGTGTTACACGAGGGATGGAGTTCTTATGATAGCTTGTTAAGGAGTTCTTGTGATAACTGTCACGGAGTTCGTCGGAAAACTATTGTATATACTGCAAAAACACTCGTCGAAAATGGTAATTTTCATCTTTAAAAAGTGAGTTTTAGGTGCTAAATTTAACTTTAATGATTAAACAAATTTATACCCGATTTTTCAAATGCCCCGGAGTTCTTGTGATAACTCAAAATATGTCCTGGAGTTCTTATGATAACTTTTGTTACTGCCAATGTGTTCACGGCACGTTTTAGCGGTTTTTTGTTATTCAATAAATTTGTAAATCATTATGAAATGTAGTACGTTCATTTTTTTGCTGGGACATTTGAAAAAAATCGGCAATAATTTTTTTAGCCTTGGCTTTATGTTTCCAATTTTGCAGTATAATTAGGGAATTATGTATTGTAAGGGTGAAGACTTGAAATGAACAGGTCAATACTTGCAAATTGGCAAATAATTTGGAAAATTTACACAAAACTTCCAGATTTTAAGCAAGAGGGGGTGAAAATTGGACTATGAATTAGTTTTTGGCACATAATATAATATGTAAGGCAGACCTAATCATTAAAGTTTAATTTAGCACCTAAAACTCACTTTTTAAAGATGAAAATAACAATTTTGACGAGTGTTTTAGCAGTATATACAATAGTTTTCCGACAAACTCCGTGACAGTTATCACAAGAACTCCTTAACAAGTAATCATAAGAACTCCATCCCTCGTGTTACACTTCCTCCCCCGTGTAAAAGCATAAAGAATAAGCAACCAACAGTTTAAGAGTCTAGCTTGGACAGACTTCACGGTTGTGCAGGCTGACTTGGCTCTATATCGGTGGCAAATGTTAATCGCTTTCCGTCCTTAAAGAAAAATCACATATCTGTTTAACTTTTGTTTTCTAAACTTAGTTATGTAGTTATTCATGAATTATTTGTTTTGTATTTTCTTGTTGTATACCAAAATTTGCTTCTTTGAGTTATTATATAGGCAAAGCTGTTGGCAGGCAACTTCGTTGTCTTTGTGTTTTAAAGGTCCATTATGCCTCAGATATTCTTTATTTTTATTTCTCAAAATCTTTTTAATTTTGGTGTACTTTTATAGTATCCAAAATGTTACTCATTGGCTAATTACTTAAACCATCCTTTTTCATCTGTTGCTTTTGTCAATAAGTACATTTAGAGTGAATGTGTATTTAAATTTATATGAAAGTCAAAATACTACTTTTGTTTACTTGTTTACATTTTTTCTACTTTATGGCAAATTTTTTCAGGTAACAAGAATCTGAAATTCTCTAAAACCATTGTATTAATCATATAAAATTCATATTTGACCTTGCTAAAGAAGTAAAGATTTCTTTGTTTAGAAGCATAATGTGCCTTTAATGATTAGCTGTTTTGAATGCCTTATTAAATTCTTTTTTTATTGCTCATACTATATAATTATTATCATTTGCCCCTTCTCCATGTGAGTATAGGATCAGCCTACTTTACATAAGGCTAGTGGTTCTATAATATCTCCCGGATGTACCTGAAATAATGTATCCTAGGTCTTCGTTTGGAAAATGACATTTACTTAGCCGTTGGTGACTTTAAAACACATCAAACAAATACAAATTAGAATGAGATAACCGCATGTAATTGCTCGCCGGTAAGGGGAAATTACTATCAATAAACTTTTTTCAAACTAGAAATGTGATCAGAGGACTCTGCTGTTTTGTCAATCTTATGACTAGGTCAACATGTGCCACACGTTAAAAACTAAAAACCTTTTACTAAATCAAGGGCAAGAACAAAAATCCACAAGCAAACCCCAAGGTGCATAAGTATATGGCTGACCAACATTCTTGTAAACTTTCAGACCTACAGGTCAAATATGTTTTGAGCTATGCATGAACAAGTTGAAAATTGCAAATTTATACTAAGTCAAGGGCAATAACTCTTACACAACTGAGGAAAAAGAAGAACCGGTTAAACCGGTGATGCTCCCCGAATAGGTTTTGGACAAAGGAAAGTATACATATTGTAGTGTCAGAGTTATGTCACAGACAAAGTTCAAAGTTTAAAAAATGAACAAAGGGCTATAACTCCAAAATTAGGCAAGGCAGAGTTAAGGTTCTTTTACACTGCATTTTTTTAATATTGCTTCCTTTATTTACTCATTGTTTTACAAGCCTACCTACACCTAATACTGCTTTTTTGAAAACACTTAATGACTTTTTTATGATTTTATATGGAAAGGTTAGGTAAAAATAAAACAATCTGTAATCATTAAAAATGCAAAGAAGGTTAGATATTAGTAGTTTTGTTCATTCTTTGAAAACAAGGTCATGCTGTGACCATGACCTTCAAGGTAGCGACCCAAATGTTGCGCGCGACAAGTCGTCTCAATATGGTGATCATTTCTGTGAAATAGTTGTAAAATCCGACTTCAAATAACGAAGTTATGGGCCGAACACAATTTTATTGCAAGGTCATGCTGTGACCTTGACCTTCAATGTAGCGACCCAAGTGTTGCGCGCGACACGTCGTGTCAATATGGTAATCATTTCTGTGAAAAAGTTGTAAAATCTGACTCCAAATAACGAAGTTATGTGCCGGACACGAATCCGTGACGTACGTACGACTGACGGACAACCCAGCGACTATATGCACCTTCGAAATTTTTCGGGGAGCATAAAAAAAGACTTAAGCCTCTCCCCCCCCCCCGCCCCTCCAGAATATAAAATTAAAAAAAAAAAAAAACTTACAGTTTTTGTTAGTAATAAATTTAGTTTAATACACACTGACACAAGTAATATTCCTTATGAAGAATGGCCAGTGGGCTATATTCGGGTGCTAAAGGTAAATTAATGAATGATTAATGAGCTATGATCATTGGTTATAGTATGCCATGAGTAACTAACTATAAGTTATGGTGGCTGATTTGGTATATTGCACGTTGCGTTGTCGATAGCGACAACACAACCTATAACATTATCAATTTGTCGTCTTGTCGCTAGCGACAACACGACAAAGCGCCAAACAGCTCATTGTTGCGCTATCGTCTTTCGCCCTGTCTCTAACGACGTGCGCCAAACGGCGCGTTGTCGTGTGGCGTTTTATCACGATGTCGCACTGTCGCTTTCCTTCTATTTGAACCGTGCTACAATGTGACATCGCGACAACACGTCGCACGACAACGCGCCGTTTGGCGTACATCGTTAGTGCTCCACAACTACATTTCAAACACAAATATAACAACTTTATGTTTTCTGGAAACTTTAATCAAATCTACATGACATAGCATTCTCGGAATTTCGATATTTGGTATAGAGTTTACAAAATATATAAAAAATGAAAACACTTGACAGAACATAAACCCCTTACTTCAAGCTCAATGTCACGCTGAGACGTCAAACTTCAGCAGTTAGAAAATCTTGTCCGGCCTGTAAATCTGTCATGCATCAAGGGGTTTGAAGTAACTTGTGACATGGGCAATATACCTAGACCCCTAGCTCCAAGGTCAAGGTCACACTCAGAGGTCAACACAAATTGCACAAAATGTGTTGCATGTCATTCGCATGACCAAAACCACTAGCTTCAAGTTCAAGGAAAATGTAATAAGATTTTAAGAAATGTAAAAAGATTCAAGATTCAAGTAGTAATTTACATGTTATGTGCTAGTGTGTTATGTAACATGTTATGTGACTGATTTAGCATTATTTACCACCATATTTCTAACGCGTGACTAAGACAGTATGGGCTATTTTTGTATATTTTAGCTTCCTTTTGGTTATTTTCATGGATAGTAATCGCCGTTTGCAATGTGTAAATTACTTTATTTGTTCACTTCGCAACTTTCATGAAAATAAGCACGTGCTGATTTTATATTCAGCGTTACTTTCTTATTAAGTATTTAAAGTGAATTGGTCTACATGGGCACAATTTCCATAAATATTCAAATGAAATATTGATAGAAACAATAGAAATGTAACATTTTGATATTTTCAGAACATAATTCTTGGAAACAAACTTTTAATTTTTTAAGTGCTACTGTATAGTATTAACATTTATATGAATAATAATAATAGTTTGTTTCGGAACACTAATATCTGCAATATAAATGTATTTGATATTGGATCATGTATCTCACACTTGCCAATAACACACACTCAAAACCTCAAAACAACTGCAAAACCTTTATCGTCAGACTGAATCTTTATGACGTCTGTCGCAAAAAGACGCATGACGTCACATGCTGCGTCAAATATTATTGGACGGCGCAGTTATTATCTGTGACGTAATAATTTGAGCATAGTTACCACAAAATGTCGACGGCTGTGATTTATAGAGATGAATAATTCTAACAAAAATGGAAGAAAATCCTTCAAACGATATAAAATATTCTGCGAAAAGCACATGTAAAGGTATTTGAAAGGATTTCTATATAATTATTATAAATAAAATAAGATTTTTTTTTTTTAACATTGCGTAATTGTCAATGTGATTTTCGCACATGGATTTTTTTTCAGGAAAAGTAATAAAAAGATATTAATACGGAATTTAATTTAGCATTTTGTGCATTTATTAGTACACTGTCAATGTCAAACTGATAAATGAACTTTTACTGTTAAAAATGTGTTCATTTTATTTAAAGGAGGTAGATCTAACAAAAAATGATGTTCGGATTACATTCTTAAAATTTGAATAAAAAGAAAAGATATGTGATATTATATTGCATTATAGATGATATTTGATTTAATTTGATTTATTTTATTTGATTTGATTGGCTTTGATAAGTAAACGTATTAGTACTTGTACTTCTTGCACTTCTTGTACTGTACTGTACTGTACTGTACTCTGCGCTGTGCTGTACTGCACTGTGATACGCCATCATAAAAATATTTGTGTTAGCTGCCAGTAATTTATCTATTTTCAAATATTGGTCATATGCGTTACTATGTTAACTAAAGGCTTGAGATTTATGGTGCTGTGTTTGTTGCTAGTGTTTTATCTCCCATTAATGTCAAACAACTCGCGGGGACGTCGACATGATCATCATCATCACCATCATCATCATCATCATCATCATCATCATCTATATCATCATCATCATCATGACCTCTATCATCATCATCAACAACAACATCATCTGAGTCATCATCACCAGCACCACCATATTTCATCACTATCATCATCGGAGAGACATCATCATTGACATAATCATCATCATTACATTTGTCATCATGAACTTCATCATCATTATTATCATCATCAGTGTAAATCATCGTCAAAATCAGTACATAATTATTATAATTATCAGTACATCGTCATCATCATTATCATCATCAACAACAACATAACATCAACAGAATGACATCACCATCATTATTTTCATCACCCTCATTGTAATCATTAAGGTCATCATCATCATCATCATCATCATCTTCAACAACAGTACATCATCCAAATCATCATCATCAGCGACAGCAACTAACATCGACCTTAGTGTAATTAAGTGATTATAATGATGATGAAAATAGTTTTGATTATAAGTCTAGGATCGAAACATTAATGATAATAGAGGTGATAATTATTATCTTGATGATGATGGAGGTGATAATAATTATATAATAATGATATTGATGATGCATG